CTCCGGCCGCCGGGCCGCTCACCTGCGCTCCCCAGTGTGCCACACCTCGTGCTTGGTTCGGTACTCCGCCAGCGCGAACACCTTCTCGCAGTAGCGGCAGGGGTACTTCCGCCGCCACGAGTGCACGTTGCTGTGCCGCTTCAGGCTGGACAGGGTCACGTAGGAGCGCTCACACGCGGCGCACACGTACAGCACGTGGCCGCCCACCACCTTCACCACGTGCTCGGGGCCGCCTCGGAAGCCCACCGGCGCGGGCAGGGCGGAGGCGTCCACTCCCGCAGGACCGCTGGGGCCCGAGCCCCCGGAGCCCAGCCCCGCCGACCCCCGGGTGCCGGCCCCCCGTCGGCACTGTGCCTCGTGGGTCTGCAGCCGCTTGGGATGGATGAAGCTCTTCCCGCATCGCGGGCAGGGCAGGGGCCGCCGGGACAGGGGGGCCTGCGAGTCAGAGGCCTGGGCCTCAGCCCTGTCGCCCTCCCACTCCCCGGCGGGCCTCGGCCCAGGCCCGAAGCTCTCGTCTGCGGGCTGCGAGGCGGCCATGGCGGCTGGGGCAGGAGGTACCCAGGCATCGCCTCCCTCCCCCAGGCCCTGCAGGCGCGAGATGCCCAGACGCCGCCCCAGAGCTCCGATCTCCGCCACCGCTGCCCCGTCCCCTCCGCCGCCGGGTAGGGCAAGCCGGGCACTGTAGATGAAGTTGAGGACATCAGAGAAGGCAGCTGCTGGGACCCCTGGCAGCTCCAGGACCCGGGGGGGGGAGGAAGTGGGGGGGGAGGCCGGAGGGGGGGAAGAGGAGGAAGAGGAAGAAGAGGAAGAGGAAGAAGAGGAGGAGGAGGAAGAGGAAGAAGAGGAGGAGGACGAGGAGGAGGCAGCTGTGGTGGCGGCGGGGTTGGGGGCAGGGCCCCCAGTAACTGGTGGGAGGGGCAGCGGAGCTGAAGCGAGCAGGGCCTCTCTGAAGAAGGGACTGGAAGCAGCCAGGACACTGCGGTGAGCAGGGAACTTGGTGTCTCCAGCTATGAGGGTGACATCACAGAAGAGGCCGCGGAGCCGCTGCTCATTGAGCTGGCGCAGGACGGCGGGGGCATGGGACGGGTCCGTCACCTCTGCTGGGGGGGGCATGGCGCCAGCCTGGATGGGAGAAGCAGCCGGGGGCGGGATGTCAGAGGCCGGGCGGAGGGGCGGGGCCTCTGTCATCAGGGAGGTGCGTTGGGAGGGCGTGGGGGGGCTGCTGTTGGTCAGAGACTGGAGAAAGACCGACACACTTCCGGCCGCAGAAGGCAGGGGTTAACCTTAGCCACGCTCGTCTGGCCAGCATCCAACCCCAGGATGGCAAACGCTGGGGCTGGAGGCGGCCAGGGCTGGCGAAGGTCATGGCGAAGGTCAAAGGCTCCCAAGTCCGCAGACCAGAGACGTCAGCAGTGGTCACCTTTCTCCGGCCCGGAGGACGAGGAGGCCCCCAGGACAACTACTGACCACTGACCACTTCGCAGGGCGTCCCAGCCTCGAAAAACTGCCTCGTGTCCGGTTTCCCCCCCGGCTGCGGGCGCTCGCCCGTCTCACCTGAGGGCACAGCCAACATGGAGCAGAGCGGGGGTGGCTCAACGAGTCCCTTCTGCGGGGCCTCTTCCTTCTGGGGAGAAACAGACCGCGTCCTCAGGAAGGGAGCTGGCCCGGAAAGGACCCCAGGAGGTGGGGGCGGCACCCGGGCTGCTCTGCAGACCCTGACCCCCTCCCGGGGGCCTGTCAGGTTCTTGGTTAGCTGCATCCAGCTGGGGCTAGGAGGGCACACACTTCTTTGCAAAGCCCCGTTCTGCTGCTGGCCCGGAGAAGTACCAGCACGAGGTAATCTGCATGCTCCCAATTCACCTCCACACAACACGGCGGCGTAGCTCAGTCCCATAGGTCCAGGGAAGCCTCTTGGATCACTCTCAAGTCCCTTTGGCCCAATCTTCAGGGCTCAAAAGAAAATCAAAGATGTGCATGTTGTCTTTCATTATAATAGCCTCATTTACGTATCAAAATAGATTTACTAGAGTTTTTTTATTGGGCCCAACTGCTAGACAGTCAATTTAGCAGAGGACCTGCACACACCCACACACACACCCCAGTCCCATAACTCTTGGAGCAGGTTTCTGGTGCCCGGTGACCACCAAAGATCTCAGACTGATACATACACACACGCCCGCTTGCTCCAGTCTCTGGAGGGCACTGGAAAGGCTGTCAGACCCAGCATGAAGCAGCTTGGGTCCCACTCCTTACTCTGAACGCTGGTGGCTTTGGGACTTTGGCTTAAAAGGGGGGAAGGGAAACGCAACCCCCGACCTCGGCTCTTGCTGGAAGGCCCATCCGAGAGGAATAGCAGGCGACCCCGATTTGAGCTGTGGTGGTCACCGCACAGAAAGCCCCTCACAGCTACTTCCCCCATGGTGGGCACAGTCAGGACTCTGGGGTCCCAGTTCTCAGCGGGAGATCTGGGTTCCAGAGCCATACAGTCGCACACAGCTGGGAATAACAAGAGGGCCTGTTCCCCGAGCAGGCCTGCTGAGCTGAGGCCCCTCTCGTCCACCCTCCAGGAAACCTGGGAAGGCTCTCCTTCCTCCACGCCCTGGGCCACATGCAACCTCTGAGGTACCCTGCAGCGGGAGTTCCTCACAAATCCCCCCTCCCCACCAAAACACCATGCTCTTTTCCCCTTTATTAGTCATACGATCTGGGCTGCAAAGCCTCCCTGCCACGGCCCGTGTCATGTTCCCAAAGACTGCTCTGATTCCTCTCCTGGAGGAGGAAGGTGGTAAAGGGGGGTGCTATTCAAAAGCTCTAACAGCCCCAACTGCGAGGCACACGCCAGTACTGGGTCAGGTGGTACCCCTTTAGATGCTGGATCGAAGGGGGCGGGAATCCTGCAGAAGCACCCCCATCCCCTACAGAAGCTGCCCCGCGTGCGGGCTGCTGTCCAGTTCTGGTGGTAAGGTGAGGAAAGAGGGAGAGGGCTCCCCCCTTCCATGATAGCCCCTGGGCCGCTGGCCCCCCGCCCCCCCCCCCCGAGCGCCAGCACTTCACTTGCATGACCTCCTCCGCTCCTCATCACTAGCCTAAAGGGAGTAACTTAGTTTCCCTGTCATAGAGATTTTATTTTTAAGTAATCTCTACACCCAATGCGGGGCTCGAACTCACAACCCTGAGGTCAAGAGTCGCATGCTCCACCGACTGAGCCGGCCAGGCGCCCCAGCTTCCCATTTTAAACAGAAAGCCTGGGTGGTCAGTTGTTAAGCATCTGCTTTCGGCTCAGGTCATGACCCCGGGGTCCTGGGATCGAGCCCCGCATCGGGCTCCCTGCTCGGCGGGAAGCCTGCTTCTCCCTCTCCCACTCCCCCTGCTTGTGTTCCCTCTCTCGCTGTGTCTGTCAAATGAATAAAATCTTAAAAAATAAAAAAAAATGGACAGACTGAAGCTAGAGATGCCAGATAGCTCACCCAAGGATGTGTGATCAGCTAGTACCAGGGCTGGGGTCTGATACGGGGAAGTCTGGCTAGAAAGCCTGTGTTCTTGGGGCGCCTGGGTGGCTCAGTCAGTTAAGCGGCTGCCTTTGGCTCAGGTCATGATCCTGGGGTCTTGGGATCGAGCCCCACGTCTGGCTCCCTGCTCAGCGGAGAGCCTGCTTCTCCCTCTGCCTCTGCCTGCCACTTTGCCTACTTGTGTTCTCTGTCAAATAAATAAAATCTTAAAAAAAAAAAAAGAAAGGCTGTGTTCTTGACCATAACTGTGGCACATCAGGAAGAAGGACAGGTTTCTAGCTGTGATATTGTGACACTGTAGGAAATATGTATATTTGGTCTTCATCCCCATTCCTGACACGGTGCTCCTAAAACTCTTATAATTTCCCAAGTGATAGGGAGGCTAGGAGCATCTTTTGTGCTAATATTTGGTCTTTGACCCTGGTCCCTGACACAGAACTCCTAAATCCTCTGGAATTTCCTGGGTGGCAGGAGTCTTTTTTGTTCTCAGTGAGGTGACCTTGGTGGTCTCCTGGAGAGTTTCAGGTTGGGGGCTGGTCACCCCCAAGCCCAAGCCATGTTTAGAAGCTCGGGGCTGGGCACTTGAGTGGCTCAGTCGGTTAGGCATCTGCCTTCGGCTCACGTCATGATCCCAGGGTCCTGGGATCAAGTCCCGCATCGGGGTCCCTGCTCGGCGGGGAGTCTGCTTCTCCCTCTGCCTCTGCCCCTCCCCCTGCCCCCACTTGTGCTCTCGCTCTCAAATAAATAAATAAATAAAATCTTTAGAAGCTCGGGGCTTTCAGCTCACCCCCATCCTCCACGGAGGGGAGAGGGGCCAGAGATTGAGTTAATAATTGATCATGCCTACATGATGAAGCCTCCATAAAAATCTCTACACTGTGGGGTTCACAGAGCTTCTGGGTCAGTGAACACATTCACTTGCCGAGAGGGTGTACCCCAACTGGCGCAGGTAGGAGGGCCTGCGCTCAGGACCTTTCCAGGCTATTCACATGAATTAGCATATCCTTTATTGGGCAATAAACCAGTAAACCTAAGTAAGCATCAACCTCAGTTCTACCGGGCCATTCTAGCAAATTCTCTAGCATATTCTCGAAGCTGAAGAGGGGGTCCTGGGAAACCCCGATGTTTAGCTGGTCGGCCAGAAGTATGGGAGGCCCGGACTTGTGGCTGGCATCTGAAGCGGGCAGTCTCATGGGACTGAGTCCTTAATCTGCGGGATCCGACTGTACTCCACAGGGATGGTGTCCGAATCGAGTTGAATCGCAGGACATCCTGCTGGCACCCGAGAACTGGTCCGTGGGACGAGCACAGTGCTAAGCTTTTATCTGCCTCATCCCACGTCAACACTCAAAAGGACCCCCAGACAGCCACAGCGGGGTCTCTCATCAATCCCACTGTACAGATGAGTAAACTGAGGCTTTCAATGCGTGAAACTCCTCACCTGAAAGAGGAGAGGATGCAGTGGTGGGGCGATCCGCCCCCCCTGGCTCGCTGCTAACCAAGCCACGGTTTGGACCCAGCTGCCCGGAGTTCAACTGCCCATCAATGGCGACTACCCTACGGGGTTTTACAGGAGGTGAAGACAGGAGTTATGGGACCCTGGGCGAGTTCCCTAACCTCTCTGTATCTCAGGCTGTTTGTCTATAAGGTGGGGATAATGAGTCCGTTCCCCCTTCGGAGGCTTGTCTGTAGACATTAAATGAGCTCATGACGTGACAGTACCTAGTAGAGTACTTGGCTCTTGGTAAGTGCTCAATAAACGCTATCGCTCTTATTGTTATCTCGGAACTCAGTCCCGAAAAGTAGTGGGGGGAAGTGGTAGAGAAGAGGAGGCAGAAATCGGGCTTCACGGCAGGTTGGTGGCTCTGCAGTTTTTAGTTTTTTATTTGTTTTCATGGTTTCCCCGCTCTTGACTGGCTACGTGATCTGAGAGGTGTGACCGAGGGGCGGCTCCGAGCGCCTGCTGCTGTTCCCTCTGCCCGAAATGTTCTTCCTCGGACAGCCCCACGCCTCGCCACCCCACCCCCTTGAAGCCTAGCCTCCGGTCCCCTTCTCCTGGAGGCCTTCCTGGCCACCCCCGCCTCCCTACACTTCCTAGTCCTCTCCTCTGTCTTCCTCCTTGGCACTCAGCACAACATACTGTTCATGGCTCTCTAGAACGTCAGCTCCGAGGGAGGGAGGTGTTCACTGCTTTGCTCACAGCTATCACCATTCCTTAGACCGGTGCCGGTCGGTACATAATGGGAGAGTTCCAAAATATTTTGGGGAGTGAATGGATCTGCCTCCTTCAAAAAGTCATCCCGGGGTCTGTCCACCCTCAGGAAGGAAGCCAGCCTCAGTGGCGGACTGAGCCGGTCAGCAGCTGGGGATGAGGAGGATGACGTGACCTCGGCCAGCACACTCATGCTTTGCCTGATACACTCCCAGGGTTTTGCGTGGATTGTCTCACCGCATGATTTCCTCCGAGCGGCCATCCGAGGCTGGAATCTGTATCATCCCTATTTTACAGATGCAAAAACTGAGACCCACCGAGGGATATACCCTGCTCAAGGTCACTCAGCGTGTGAGCCCCAGAGTTAAAATGCAGAACCGGGCTCGTGTGAACCTAGATGCAGAATCTTTCCCCTCTTCCAGGCCTCGGGATCCTGCCCTGAAGGGGCCTGTGGGCGGCCAGTGGGTCACAGAAATCACCACATGAGGTCTCACGTGCTAAGCCCTAACTGTGTCCCGTCTGACGCCGCCCTCTCCTTCGCTCCCCGCGTCCAGCCCTCACCAGGCAGGGTCGGATCTGCGGCCCGGCTTGGGAATGGCTCCGGAACGCTTCCCTTCAACCCGCCTCTGGCCCCCGAACTAGCTCAGGCCCTTGTTAACACTTGCCTGGCCCAAGGTTATTCCCCTGCCTCCAGGCCTACCTCCTGGTGTCCTGTCCTCCTCTCCCTGAGGGGCCCTGTCCCCAGCCGGCTCAGGCTGCATTGGTCCTGGGCTCGGAAACCTTCACTGGCCCATGCTCACTCGGGAATAAAATTCAGATGGCTCAGCCAGCCATCTAAGGGTCCGGTTCCAATCTTCCTTTCCAATCCTGCCTTGCATTAGACTTCCTTCAGGCACCCAGGGGGCTCTCCCACCTCAACGTGCCCTCCCCTAGCCCCCTGGCCCCCTGGCCCCCTGGCCCCCCTGCCCCCCCCCCGTCTTTGCCTGTGCTGTCTCTCCCACCAGAGACGCAGTCTCTCCCAACCTCTTGCCCAAAGGCCTCCAAAATGTAACTCAAATGCCACCTCCCTCTTGGCCCTCCCCTACCCAAAGGCCAAGGACAATCTCTCCTGTGCCTGGCTCATCAACACTGGGTGCCCCCGTGGCCAGCACCCAGCACCCAATTGTAGGTCCTCACTGCCTGGGCTGGGACTCCCTGCGTCATTGTCAAAGCACGCTGGTCTTCTGAGACGGACTGGTACAGGTTAGGTTCTGCAGAAACGGGGGAGAAGTGGGGGGGGGCGTGCACAGAGAGGCCCGCAGAAAGCTTCGTTCAGAAAGGCAGCAGAGAACGGCCTGGAAGAGCACAGGATCTAGAGCTTTCCCTCTTACCAGCAAAGTGGCTTTGGGCAAATGACTTAACTTCTCTGGGCCTCAGCTGTCTCGTTGGAAAAAGGGAGATCATTCGAACACCTCCTTCCACGGGGTGTTGCAAAGAGTAAATGAACGAGCATATACAAAAGCACGGAGAACAGCGCCTGGCACACCGTACGTACTCGGTAAGAGTTTGCTGCTATTGTTATTAGCCAGGCCCCGACGAGGGGCTCCGCAGAGACGGGCACAGACAGAGCCCCCAGACTGGAGCTACCTTGCAGGTACATTTTCCACGTGCCATTTACGTCCTTGTTGGAAGACAGGTGGGGCAGGGATCTAGGCCCATTTTACAGATGAGCAACGGAGGCTCGCTCAGGGCCAGTGCCAGGGAGGAAGCGGCAGGGCCAGGAGCCCTCAGTTCCAGTCCAGGCCTCCCTCCCCTCCAGCAGGCCCTAATGCACCTGCTGTGTGGGCCTCACACAGAGGCCGGCGGACCCCACTCCCATCACACCGGACGGCCGACCACAGTGCCCTCCTAGCCCCCTTCCCCCCAGCCAGGCCCTGCGCAGCACACACACCACTCACCCCTACACACACACACACACACACACACACACACAAAGGTGAGGAAAACCTGTTCTGAGCAATCTGCCTAGTGAGCGAATTCCATTCCCAGACCCTTCCGCAGTGGCAGGAGCAGCGCCGCGTGTGTGCGTCACAGAAGAACAGGGAAAGCAGAGGTACCCGGGAGGGGGGCAGAGAAGAGGGTGAAGCCGGAGGAGGGGACTGAAAACTTCGTGTTTCTTTTCTCCATGTCAGTGACCAGAGTCACACCCGGCCTTTACATAAACATGGCCAAGAAGCCACCGTGCCCGTGCAGGCTGTTTCCCCGCGGCCGCCAGGCCTCTCCTCCCGGTGACCCTGACACGCTGGGCGGGCCGCGAGGGGCAAGCACTGAGACCCCGCACAAAGACGCGCCGGGCCACCCCGACAACACCCAGGCCTCCCGCCCGCTGCCCTTGCTCTGCCCCATATTTATCTCCCTGCCTTCTTCAGAACATACCCCCCAGCAGCCCCGCACGGCTGCTCGGACGCGCGGAAGGCAGGCACGCACACTCGGCCAGAGGCTGATCTCTCGAGGCTGAGGCCCACATTGCCCTTGTCACACCACCTCCCTCCCCACAAGTGTTTTCTGACCAGCTCGCCTCCCAGCCCCACAGCACGGACAGGCGCCCACAAACAACGTCACAAAAGAATCCCAGAGAGAACGTTACAGACACACAACCTTGCCCTCGCCCGGCTGCGCACAATCCCGTAAACACAACCTGCCCATCTCCCCCCGTCCCCAGCCCCTCTCACAGCAGTGCCCTGGGCCCCACAAGTACCTGGGGACACACCCTGAGGGGTTCTCACCTGCCACAGATCCTCGGGACCTGAATTCTAGACCTGCTCCCCCCTGTGCAACTCACTCATAACACACAAACCCACAAAGCCAGCTGGCGGGCCATCCTCGCCAACACCGGGCCACACCTCGGCGGGGCACAGAAAGGGGACCCGGACGTGACACCTTCCGACCCAAAGGTACACAACAGCCCCCTCCGGACGGGCACATCCCCACGGCACGCTCGTGCCCTCCACAGCACATACGCTAACCACGCCAGCTATGCAGAAAACAACAGTTCATAAATAGTTCATATGTGCAAGAAAACACATGCCTGCATCAAACATACATAAAACCACACATCTGACTAACTCCGCATGGATTGTGCCCTGCTTTCCAATGCGGACCTGTCACCCAAAGCCACAGGGCCACCTCTTGTAATTCTGCCCCACATCTCTGGACACCCCTCCATCAGGCTCTCTGTCCCCGCGGCTCAGGGACGGCCCTACCCGGACCCCTGGCTGCCGGACGAGCAAACGGTGGTGCCCAGGAGAGGTTTACCCTGCCCCACAACACAGCAGGAGACACACAATCTCCGGGACTCACAGCCACAACCTTGCCCCGACGGCACGGCGGCTCCGGGGCCCCCGCTCGCCCTGCGCACCCCGCACACCCCAACTCCGGGGCGCTGGGCGGCCCACCCCTCCCCCTCTCCGCCTGGCTCCTACGCCATCGCCCTCCCAGCAGCTTGCAGCGCCGGCCCGGGCTCACACCCGCCCCACCCCACCCCCAACCTGCCCCACGGGGGGGGAAGGGGGCACCGGCCTGCAGAATTAACCCTTCGGGAAGGG